GGTCTCAGGTTTATGGCACGTAACCACTGATTTGACAAATGTACACTTTTCAATTCCAAACAGAAAATGCACTCAGAAACAGTTCACATCCAGATAGAATAGGCAACATTGCGCACTTAACAGTTTTGTTTCAGGTCTATGTCACCTCTCCTGATTTCTGTCATAATATAGGCCACAGAGATCTGAAGCATCTGGATAATATAAAGAACATTGACCCATTAAACTTATGACATGATGACTAAAAGATGACTAGTACACTGGAAACCTTGGTAAGGGCTCAGAAAGTGACAGGTAAACCCTAGAAAATTTAGAGACCAGTCACTATTCAGTAAAACTTTTGGGGGTCTTGGGTTCAGGCTATTCTAGACATTCTGTTCAAAGTGAAAAATAGATTGCTCTATCTCACATCTCTACTAAAAACAAGGACATACAATGCTGGTGGACTTCCTTGGGGCAACATATTCCACACCTAGAAATATTGTTCTGGCCTGTGGAAATGGGCCCACACCAATGGGATTCTCTAGTTGTGTCACATACTCCCCTCCCAGAAGTTTCTTTCTTTTTTTTTTAATTAATATTTTTTATTTTGATATTGTGGGGTACAGTTTAGGGTTAGGTATACAAATATGCTTTGTTCAGGCACACTTGTTGACAAGGGGTGTCTCCCCATTCTCAAACAGATATTGGCTACTATTAATCCCACCTCCCTTCCCCTCCCCCCCATAGTTTCCCACCACTGTCAGTCTTTTTTTTTTTATAGTATTACGGTGGATGTTCAAGGTCCACTATATGAGTGAGAACATGTGATACTCAGATCTTTGTGTCTGTGAGAGATCACTCAGTATTATTGACTCTAGTTCCATCCAGGTTCCTGCAAAATTCATGATTTTGTTCTTTTTTTATGGTTGCATAGTATTCCATAGTGTACATGTACCACTTTTTTTAAATCCAGTCCTCTTTTGGTGGACAGCATGGTTGGTTCCAGGTTCTTGCTATTGTGAACAATGCTGCGATAAACATTTGTGTGCAGGTATCTTTTTGATAGAGTGATTTGAGTTCTTCAGGGTATATTCCAAGTAGGGGGATTGCGGGGTCATATGGGAGGTTGATATTTAGGGATTTTAGGAATCACCACACTGCTTTCCACAGAGGTTGCACGAGTTTGCACTCCCATCAACAGTGTAGGAGTGTTCCCTTTTCCCCACTCCCTCTCCAGCAACTGTTATTTTTTGAGTTATTGATAATGGCCATTCTGACTAGAGTTAGGTGGTATCTGAGTGTGGTTTTGATTTGCATCTCCTTGATGATTAGTGAGGTTGAACATTTCTTCATGTGTCTGTTGGCTGCTCAGATGTCTTCCTTTGTGAAGTGTCTGTTCATATCTTTTGCCCATTTTATAATGGGGTCGTTTGGTTTTTTTTCTTTTCAGCACGTTTGAGTTCCTTGTAGATCCAAGATGTTAAGCCTTTGTCAGACCTGAAGTTGGCAAATACTTTTTCCCAGTCTGTAGGCTTTCTCCCTGCTCTCTTGATGGTTTCTTTGACTTTGCAGAAGCTTGTCAGTTTAATGAGGTCCCACTTGTCTATCTTATCTCTTGTGGCCTGTGGGTTTCGGGTTTTGTTCAGGAATTGGATGCCAGTTTCAGTTTCCATGAGGGTATGTCCTTCATATTCTAAGGTTCTTATGGTTTGAGGTTTTACATTTAGGTCTCTGTTGTGTCTGTGTTTCATTTTCTCTAACTCTCTTTGTGAATTAGGTATTTCCCTGGATGAAGTGATGTGGAAAAAATACTGAGCAATTATTATCAAGTATTTGAGATAACATAGTTCCAGGCAGTTTGCTAGACCCACATAGTACAGAAATTGTTTGACTAACTTCTACAAAACTTTTTAAATCGGAAGCAAAGCAAAAATGGGAGTCAGAGATAGGAAGGAATGGATATCTATTTTTACACTAAAAGCTTGTGACCACTTAACAGCTAAAGCCTGCGAGTCTACAGTTGTTGTTTAAAAAAACATTAAAATTATTCACTAATCCAGTTTAGGAAAATCACATTATGCATGCGAAGATCTTAGTTCCATTTTTTTCTAATCAGTTTTAAAAAGCAATACATGGAAAGGATAGTAATATTAATAAGACCAATGCAAAAAAAGAGACAACAGTGTGCTTTAGCAATCAATTTATTTTTAAAATCCACAGATGATGCATATAATGAGTAAGACTGACATGTTTAATATAACAGAGGATATATGCAACTCCGAAAAGGCCCTAACATTATTGGACCCTATGGTCTCCTCCAACCCTTTGCAGATGCCATAAAATTATTTATTAAAGAACCTCTCCATCCACTTACATCAACATCTCTACTTTATATCATTGCACCAACCCTTGCCCTATCCCTGGCTCTCATTATATGAATTCCCATACCTATACCACACACCCTTCTCAACATAAACCTAAGCATCCTATTCATTCTAGCAACATCTAGCCTAGCCGTATACTCTATTCTCTGATCAGGCTGAGCATCAAACTCCAAATATGCACTAATTGGTGCACTCTGGGCAGTAGCCCAAACAATCTCCTATGAAGTAACCCTTGCAATTATCCTCCTAGCAATTCTCCTAATAAACGGATCTTTTACACTAATAACACTAATTATAACTCAAGAATACTCCTGACTATTTGCTCCATCCTGACCACTAGCAATAATATGATTTATCTCAACATTAGCCGAAACAAATCGAGCACCCTTCGATCTTACAGAGGGCGAATCAGAATTAGTCTCAGGATTCAACGTTGAATATGCTGCAGGACCATTTGCCCTATTCTTCATAGCAGAATACACTAACATTATTATAATAAACGCCCTAACTACCATCATCTTCCTAGGCGCACTACATAATATCTTTATACCTGAAATATTTACATCAACTTCATAGCAAAAACACTTATTCTCACCTCACTTTTT